TCTCTTTAAACGAGTCCTCGAGGCTCAATGAGACTAACCTGTAGAAATAAAGCTTGAATGTGTGTGTGTGTCCAGGGTGTGGCACGCCTCCGTTCCGCAGCTCTCGGATCGTTGGCGGTCAGGTGTCGCGGGAGGGGGAGTGGCCTTGGCAGGTGAGCCTCCACATCAAAGGGCAGGGACACACCTGCGGGGCGTCGGTTCTGAACGAACGCTGGCTGCTGACCGCCGCCCACTGTGTCCAGGACGACAAAAACGTCAGGTCAGAACCAAGTCCAAAAGTGCGTTTAACAGAGCAGCAGGGTTCTGATTGGACCCGTCATCAGCTGCTCTGATCCAAAAGGTACCAACGGGTCGGTTCAGATAAACTCCCAGTTTTGCAGAAAATGTGGGTTTATGATGAATGTTCGTGGGCTGGGACAGACAACACCGAGTCAATGATCTTGGTGCAGAAACAGCACTAGTAAAAGTCACTAATGATATTCTCATGGCCTCAGACAATGGACTTGTGTCTCTACTGGTCCTGTTAGACCTCAGTGCTGCATTTGATACAGTTGATCACAATATTTTAATACAGAGACTTGAATATGATGTTGGAGTTACAGGAACAGCTCTAAAATGGTTTAAATCATATCTATCTGATAGATTCCAGTTTGTAAATGTAAATCATGAATCCAACATCTTTCAGTCAGGTCATCTGGACAGTTTCTTTTTTTGTGCTGAAACGTTTCGCCTTCGATCCAGAAGGCTTCTTCAGTCAAGGAAACACACAACAAAACTGATTCTTCCCCCAACAGCTTACTCCAAAGTGGAGGCTCCAAAGAGGGCCAGCAATGGAGGAAGAGACGTACCAAAGAGACCATCTTAACACAAGCAGAACTGGTTTGTTCCACTTTGGAGTAAGCTGTTGGGGGAAGAATCAGTTTTGTTGTGTGTTTCTTTGACTGATGAAGCCTTCTGGATCGAAGGCGAAACGTTTCAGCATAAATAATGAATCTTCTTCATACAACAAAGTTAGTCATGGAGTTCCTCAAGGTTCAGTGCTTGGACCAGTACTCTTTACCTTGTATATTCTTCCATTAGGTAAAGTCATTAAACAGCATGGGATAAATTTTCATTGTTATGCTGATGACACACAGTTATATTTGTCCATTAAACCCAATGAATCCAACCAGCTACTTAGACTACAAGCATGTCTTGAAGACATAAAAACCTGGATGACCCTTAATTTTCTCCTGTTGAACAGACAAGACTGAGGTTTTGGACCTGAGCACCTTAGGAATGAATGTTTCAGTCTTTCTCCCTCCTTAGATGCATTAATCTGTCCTCCAGCTCTAATGTTAAACATCTTGGTGTTATTTTTGATCAGGACATGTCTTTTATCCCCCACATTAAAAACGTTACTAGAACCTCCTTCTTCCACCTGCGTAATATCACTAACATTAGAAACATCTGATCTAAAGATGATGCAGAAAAACTGGTCCATGCATTTGTCACATCTAGACTGGACTATTGCAATGGTTTATTATCTGGGTGTCCAAATACTTCTTTAAAACGTCTTCAGTTGATCCAAAATGCTGCTGCCAGAGTCTTAACTGGAGTTACTGGGAGAGATCATATCTCTCCAGTTTTAGCTTCTCTCCATTGGCTCCCTGTCAAATCCAGAATAGAATTCAAAATCTTACTTCTAACCTACAAAGCCCTCAACAACCTAGCTCCATCTTATATTACAGATCTTATTGTTCCATATTTTCCTAACAGAGCACTTCCCTCAGGCTGCAGGTTTACTTGTGGTTCCTAGAGTTTCCAGCATCAGAATGGGAGGAAGATCTTTCAGTTCTCAGGCTCCTCTCTTGTGGAACCAACTTCCAGTTTCTGTCCATGAGGCTGACACATTGTCCAGT